GGGGGGGAGGGGGAGGAATGTCAGGCTCGCACTATAAGCCACACTTCCAAGCTGTTCCCTGGGCTAATGAAGGAACCTCTGTGTCCCTGTATCAGTCAGTCACTGGCTATGGTGTGGGAGGCTCATAAATTTTCAGGATTGGTGGCTCTCATCAGCCAGGGGTGATTCATAGCACAAGGGGCAGGTGTGAGCAGCAGCAGTTATCTACAGTGAAAAAAAAGATTAAAGAGTGTAACTGCCCAGGCTAAGGAGGGCTGGGCTGTGGACCTGCCGTCCCCTGGTGAGGGGACCTCTAACATCTGTGAATGGAGGAGAAGCTTGTGAACTCCTGATGCACCAAACACTGGCGTCCCCTGGCTACATGTGCTACCCTGGGAAAAGGTCCTGCCCACAGAAGGGCACAGTTGCCATTGTAGGGACTGGCAAGGAGCCTTGCCATCCAACCTCCAGGGAAGGGCTCCATCTTACAGATCGAAAAACAGAGGCTCAGAGGAGTGACAGGACTCCAGGTTGGTCATGCAACTTGTAAGAGGAAGACCTGGGATTTATTTATTTATTGGCAGAACCAGGGATTGAACTCAGACCCTTGTGCTTGTCAGGGAAGCGCTTATTCTACTGAGCCATCTCCCCGGCCCCAAGACCTGGGATTTAAACTAGTCTGAATGACCCCCTACCTGGGTTCTTCCCCCAAACCATGGAGGATCTGATAATTTCACCATTCCTCCCCTCTGTAAGAGGCTGGTGAGTCCAGGTCATCTCTGTCCTGAAACTGGGCTCAGCTAAACTCAGAATCCCCAAGGGTCACATCTGGCATTTGCAGTAGTTGGGAGGCCCACACATATATTTTGCATATAATTTGCATCGTGGTTGCATCTGGTTTGCATATGTTCACACTGAGAACCCATCAGCACTGCACAAGTTTTAAATTGCTTCTAAGCCACTCTCACCCAGTGGAAGACTATCGGAGCTTTATAGAATCCAGTTTCTATGATTTGTGGGCTCTCTGGCCCTCACCTTTGGACTGCATCTCTATCTCCTCACTCCAGGGTTCTGGACAAGCCACACTTTTGTCCAGGTGGAAGAGGGAAACAGCTGCGTTAGAAACTTGTGTGGAATTAGAAGTCACCTTTTTTTTTTTTTTGATGGTGCACTTGTAATAAATGCTGGGATTGGACACAACACTTCTGCACAGGACTTCCAAAGATGGCCCCATGGGCAAGGATGCCCAGATGTGTCCTCTTTAAAGAAGGAGATTGGTGAGGGGTGGTGAACAGGAATGCGGGGCCGGACAGTGTGCGCAGCCTATAGCTCAGGGCGGGCAGCTCTGCCAACTGCCCTGGGGAGCAGGGGCTGAGTTTCTCTGAGCAGCAGAAAGCTCATCTGCCACAAAGCTGGCAGAGTCAGTGCTTTCTATTTCTGTCTCTTTAGGAAAACTGCATTCCATAGAACTCTGTGTTCTTGTGTGTTAAGTCGTGGATAAAACAAAAGAGACACCTCCAAGGTGAAGTGGAAGGAGCCTGGAGAGGGCAGTGGAACCTCAATTTTGAGAAGCATGGAGGCAGGAAAGGGGTATTCCAGACACATGGGGTGCCAAGCGCCAGGGCCCCATACTCACCACCAGACAAGCATCTTCCAAGGACCAATTTCTGAATTTTTTCTGCCCCTAGGAGCTAATTCTTTCCTTCTGCTCCTAGAGGCGCACAGAGGAAGGCAGGACGTTCCTGTGGCCCAGCAAGGGTTCTCTCGTGTCTTCCCACTGGGCCAGGGATGGACTCCAAATGCAAGACTTCACTCTTAACATCCATACAGGATGGTTGTGTCATCCTCCAATTTTCCTAAGGAGAGAGGTGCTACATCTGTCACGGGAGCAGTGAGGGCAGCAAAAGTATGTGTCTATGTGTGTGCACATGAGTGATAGCGGAGTGGAGGGTGGGCCAAACTCTTTTTGTGTGTGGCCCCTTTGCCTGTCTCTATCCAGGTGGAGAAACTCCAGGCTAAGGCAGGGAGAACATGACTGTCTGCCTCCCTCCTCTGCTGCTGGCCTCCCTAGGTTTCCTGTCTGGCAGATGCGAAGTGGCCTCATCACCCAAGGGGAGACCCCAGGCTCAGGATGCATCCAGCCAAGACCCTAAGCATCTCCCTATGCTGACATCGTCCGCCTCCACCAGGATGGGGCCCAGGCCCTGGCTCCCCAAACTGTTCCAATTAAAGAGGGAACATGGTTTTGATGTCAGCCACCTGGGAAAGGGGGAGGGGGAGTCTAACTGTCCTTCCAGCCCCCTGTTACATAGACATTTCCCACTTCTCACAGGGTCCAGCCTTCTTCCTGTGAGCTGTGGGCCCCACATCTGGGGCTGGGGAAGGGAGTGAAAGGAAGGGGTGGGACCCCTTGGAAAAAGATCATAGCTTCTGGGGTGGGGGAAGTTTCTCCCAGAGCCAGCTGGGCGGTGCTGCCAAGCAGTCAGAAACCAGCCTCCAAAGAGGAGCTGAACTCTATTGGTTTCCCCCTCAGATAGCTCTCTGAAAACCAGAAAGTTAGTGGTTACAGGATCAAGAACATGTTACAGATACTATGGATCTGCCCCCAGCAAAATGACTCATAACATCTCTGTTAACATTATAGAGTAGAACGTTCCAAGGGTATGTAGGTGTGAGACTGTTTTAAGCATCATTTATTTTCCTAATCCATTCAAACTAGCTCAAATGGTAGATCATTGGAAGCAGACAGAGAAAGCCACGGCTTGTCACCACATGACTACATATTTCAGGCTGAGTTCCACCCCCTACTCCCCTGCAAAGCCGCCTTCTTAGGTCCCTGTAACCCCTGCAGAGCAATGGCTTCAGCAGGCCATGATGTCCTTTCACCACCCCCAAAGGTCCCTGTAGTGGATCGAACAAAGCCCCTTTCCTCAAAATTTGTATCCATTGGATCCCAGAATGTGACCTTACTTGAAAATAGTATCTTCATCAATATAGGTACGTAAGATAAGATTCAGATGGGCCCTAAATTCAATTCCTGTTCTTAGAAAAGGACACACAATCGCAGAGGAAGAAAAAAATGAAGGTCACCATGTGAAGATAAAAACAGATTAGAGTGATAGAGTGACAAACCAAAGAACTTGGAGGATTGCCAGGAGCCACCAGAAGCTGAAAGAGGCAAGCAGATTATTCCCAAGAAGGGAAGGGAAGGGCTGGGGTATGGCTCAGCAGCATAAGCCCCTGTGTGGCAAGTACAAGGTCCCAATTTTGATCCATGGTACTGAAAAAAATATATATATAGATAGATAGATAGATAGATAGATAGATGAATATGGCCCAGCTGACACCTTGATTCTGACTTATACATTCCAGAATTAGGAGATAATACATTCCTGTTGTTTTAAGCCTCTGAATTTGTAGTTGTTGCTGCAACCCTAGGAAATTAATGAAATCTACACCTGGAAACTAGGTCCCCTTTAGCCTCTACCCCACAATTCCAAAGCCTAGGAGAGAGGATGAACAGTCTGGCTTTGATCAGGTATCTGTTCCCAGGAACTCATAAGCTGCTGAGGCTGGAAGAAGGACAAGACATAGATGTGGACTTCAGAGCAGATCCCTCAGTATCCCTGTACCATCCACCACCTGCCCCAAAAGCTGTTTATTCACATCTCCAAGTTGGTTTAGAAAGGTCTCTCCAGGAAGGCCAGGAGCCCTATAATTCTGCACACCAGCCAACCACTTGCGTGAAGACACATGGCTGTGGTCACCTGTGTAGATGAGACCACGACAGGAAGTGCCACTCTGTTGAGTGACACAATCAGGATTCACAAGGTGTCTTGCACCTTAGAAAGTTCATGAAATGATGTTCAGTGAGGGTGACTCCAAAGGACAACTCTTGGATAGTAGGCATCAATTTCGGAAGCAAAATATTAAGAAAGCCCAGCTTGATACAGCCAAGACTCGAACGTTTTCTTCATCCAGATGCTAGTATCAAGGCAGAGCCAGAGCCCAGGAAGAGAAGCAGGACTTTTTTTTTTTGGGGGGGGGGCGCGGTTCCAGGGATCAAACTCAGGACCTTGCGCTTGCCATGCAGGCTTATATGGCTGAGCTCTCTCCCCCAGCCTAAGCAGGCCTTCCTTGTCTGAGCTGGAAAGATGATCCGCATCTGCATCCCACGCAGAAACCGGAACACTGATCCTGGCAGAGACGCAGAGGGGTGATGTGGCCACCAAACTGGGCTGCACAGGATGATGGGGAGAGGGTACAGGTTATCAGATCTCAAGTGCAAGGGCCTGAGTTCAATCCCCGGTTCCGCTAAAAAAAAAAAAAAAAAAAAAAAAAAAAAAAAAAAAAAAAAAAAGATCTCGCCCACACTCAAAGTGAGGAGGCAGAACCAGCCAACCATCAGTCGGGTCAATTCCAAGAGGACGACCGGGTATCGTGCTGCTGCGCCCCCAAACACTCCAGAGCCCTGGTCTCCGAAAACATGCGGATGGACTTCTAAGACCAGTGCATCTTGAGGGTGGGTTGTACCTCGAAAGCCCCTTACCCAGGCCAACCCAAGGGGTCGGCATCTCTGTTCCTTCTCTGGTGTCCGATAGCGAGCGCGGCAGTAGCGAGGCGAGTCCGGGGACCTCCCAGGGCGCGGTGGCCTGCGCCCGCCACTCGGGACTGTCGCCTTCTTAACTCTTGCTTGCAGGCGGCCCCTTGGACAGCAGATCGGAGCTGGGGCGAGGGGCTGGCGGTGGAGGAGGGGGCTGGCGGAGGAGAGCGGCGCGGGCCCAAGTTTATGCTAATCCGCGCAGAGCCCGCCTCCCGCCTCCCCTCTGCGGCCCCAGCCACGAGCTGCGCCGGCCACTCGGCGGGACGCAGCCACCGCGAAGCGCCAGGCAGCCAAGTGAGAGCGCTGGGGGGGCCGCGAGTGGCTGTGGGAAGCCTGCCGGAGAGCAGAGGTGACGGCGTGGCGGCCGGACACCCACGGGGGCCACCGACCGGGGCCAGGTGGAGACGCGGTGGCCACGATGGGTCGCCGCCGCCTGCCGGTCTGGCTGTGCGCCGTCGCGGCGCTGCTGTCGGGGGCGCAGGGCAAGGGCACGCCGCTCGTCGCTCGGGCTGTTCCTCCCGGCGCCTCTCGCTACAGCCTCTACACGACGGGATGGCGCCCCCGGCTGCGCCCGGGGCCGCACAAGTAAGCGCGGGCGGTGCGGCGGCGGCGGGAAGCGGGAGGGGTGGGGTTCGCGCAGCGCGCCGCCGCTCCCACCTGCCTACACCCTCGTGGGCCATCGAGGTCCCGGCACCAAAGGCCGTGGCGTGGAGGGGCGGTGCCCGGACTGAGCCCTTGCCGGAGCGGGCGCGCAGTGCTCCAGGAGGCTGCCGGGTTAGTGAAGAAAACTAAACCGAGGGGGCCTGGCGCGGCGGCTGGGATCCTGGCAGTGCCCGCGGAAACCTTTCCAGAGAAGTAACATTTTCCAGCTGTGCCGAGCGCAAACTGTAGACGCAGCGGGCCAGGTGGAGCAAGCAAAGCGAGGGCTGTCTGCACGAGAAGGACGCGGGGCTCCCCCGCAACGCCAGGCCTCCTGTCTCTCCTCTGCCCTTCAGGGTAGGAGATGGAACCGTGCAGGCAGAGCTCCACTCCTCCTGAGGCAATCCTGGTCCCAGAGATCCCTAGGGAGCCTCGAGCTGGTGGAGGCTATAGAGTCCTGGCCCGGTATTCTGGAAGTGACAGGCTGTCTCTGCGGTCCACTCAGGCCCTTGAACTCTGGTTGAATTTGGAAAGTGTTGTGGGAGAATGCCCGGCCCATGGCCAACACGTAGTGTGCTAGGGCGCCTCAGAGAAGGTGGGCAAGACCTGGTCTCCAGGAAGCCACTAAATTGGGATTACAGAACTTCACAGCACAGATGAGGCACTTGGAACCAGTGAAGGAGGTGGGGAGTGGGAGGTGTGGCAAGCATCGCCCCCCCCCCAAGAATCCAGGGTGGTCTGTTCCCCAGTCTGGGAGAGCAGCCACACCAGGGCTTTAGTTTGGCATGTCGCAGCCCCCAGTGGCACCCACTGAGGATGCAGGGATCAGAATGTCAGCAGGGGAGTTGGGCCCAGCCCAGAATGTTGTGGATTCCAGGCAAGGGCCCTGACTTCCAGAGACAAGGAGAACAGAGGAAACAAATGGGAGTCTGGTCTACTGCTGAGACCCACAGGTAGGGGAAAAAGGGTAGGGGCCTCAGTGGGCCTGACTTAGGCGGGATATTCCAGGAGGCCGCTTTCCCTTGTAGGGCCCTCTGTGCCTATGTTGTGCACAGGAACGTGACCTGCGTCCTACAGGAGGGAGCAGAGAGCTACATAAAGGCTGAGTTCCGGCAGTGTGGATGGGGGCTCAAGTGCTCCGGGACAGTCACGTGAGTGCACCCCCCTCCCAAGCACTTGGGAGCCCCGTGCACAAGCCCCATTTCTGCCTTCAGCTGGGAGCAAAGCCACCTCTGCTGCAGCTCCAGCACTCCAGGGAGCTCACCTGAGCCTGAATAGACCAAGGGCTCATGTCCCCTAGGTTTTAAAGTTGTGGCTGGGGATCAGCCACAGATGGCTGAGGGGAATGAAGAAAGGGCCAGCTAGGAGGAAGGGACAGACGCAGAGGGTGGGGGAGGGAGAGAACCAAGGGTCACTCAGGCAATGGTTGATGCCACAGGGAGGAGGGGCCAGGGCAGATCTAAAGGGCTGTGGTGACAATGAGAAGGTAGCTTAAGGGTGAGAAGTGAAAGCCAGAGTGCTGGGGCTTAGGCCAGCCAGGCCAGCTGCATGGGAGAGGTGCTACACGGAGACATGACCCATAGGTTTGCAATTGGAGAGGTCCAAGTGTGCATCTAGAAACAGGTCTGTTCTCCACTATGTCAGTGGGTGAATGGGCGAGGAGATGCTCCTGGGAGCGCTTCCCCTCTGTGTTGAAAATCAGAGGTGCCCTCCCACCAGCCTGTGACCAGAGCTGGGTTCCTAGAATAGGCTAAGTGCAGTAGGAGGAACTGCAGAATGAAAGTCAATAATGACTGCAAGACAGTGGGAGGGACCAGCAGCCTCAGCTCCAGGGCACCAGTCCTTCCCATCCACAGGGGAGAGCTTGGGGCTTTGCTAAGGTGCCGCTTGGAGCCCACACAGAATTTCTTGTGGCAACTTGAACTGAAGAGGGTCCATGTGGTCTTGGGAAGGTTGGTGTTAAATATTTACTAACCTTCTTCCAAAGCAAATAGAATGGATGGGGCTTCTACCTGGATCCTCCACTCAGAGGCCTTAGAGCCCCTGGAAGGCCTACCTATATCACACTACTCTGTCACCTTGAGCACCAAATAAGAAGCCACTGGGGTAGTGTGGAGGTGGGGAAAGAAACCAACTTTGTGCAGGCATCTGAGGTTGATCCCAAATGCCATCCAGGGGACAGGACTCTCAAGCCTTCAGGTGTAAGATCCTGCTCTCTCACTCTCCCCGGCTCAGGTACCGAACAGTGCTCAGACCCAAATACAAGGTTGGCTACAAGACAGTGACAGAACTCACTTGGCGTTGCTGCCCTGGCCTCACTGGAGAAAGCTGCCCCGAGCACCTCACAGATCATGGAGCCATCCCACCACAGCTGAATCCTGAACCTCAGACTCCCTCGGGGCAGGTGGGCTCAGGTCCCAGGCCTCCTCCTTATAGTCAAGCGGCCCCCAGTCTCCATGGTGAGTCTGATTCTGGATGCCCTCCAAGATGCCTAGGTTTCTTGGGTTCAGGGACAGAAGCAGGGAGGGGACTGACCCAGGTTCCTGAGGTTGGGGAGGGTCTGTCTCACAAGAGTATGCATCTGGGAAGTTGTGCCCGGTGAAAATGTCAGCTAGAACAGGAAGTCTCACAATACCCTGAGAGGGCCATGCCAGTGGTGCTCCTGGAGTCTGTCTTCTCTTCCAGGAAGGAAAGGCCTAGGGCTGTTTGGTGAGCGCCTAGAACGCCTGGAGGGTGATGTTCAGCGCCTGGCACAAGCATATAGTACCCTCAGTGGCCTAGTAGCCAGCCAAGAGGACCTGAACAAGATAACTGCACTCCCCAGGGTTCCTACTGCCCCTGTGGGCTTTGGGGTCATCCCTGAGGGGCATGTGGATCCTGGAGGCACAGCAGGACGACCACTCACACCTCCCCTTGGTGAGATTCTGAGTAAGGTAACAGAAGTGAGCAACACACTGCAGACCAAGGTGCGGCTGCTGGACGAAGTGCATGGACTTGCCCTCGGCCATGAAGCTCACCTGCAGCAGCTGCGGGAAGCCCCGCCATCCCCATTGACCTCCCTGGCACTGCTAGAGGAATATGTAGACCAACGGCTGCAGCACCTCTGGGGAAGCCTCCTGGATGGCTTTGAACAGAAACTGCAAGGAATCCAGAGTGAGTGTGACTTGCAGGTGCAGGAGGTACGGCAACAGTGTGAGGAGGGACAGGCAGCCAGCCAGAGGCTACACCAGAGCCTTGATGGCCGGGAGCTGGCCCTGCGACAGGAGCTCTTGCAGCTGGGCACTCAGCTGCAAGGCTTGAGTGTGGCTGGTGTGGGCAGTTGCTGTAGCCAGCTGGCCTTGGTCAGTGCCCGTGTGGATGGCCTTGAGAAGAACCTGCGGGCTGTTGTGGAGGCCCACAAGGGCCCCAGCACCCCAGCCAGGGATGAGCTTGAGCACCTCTCTGCTGCCATACTTGACGGAGGTGTGGATGGGCTGCTTGAGGGTCTGGAGACCCTCAATGGGACAGAGAATGGAGCAAGGAGCTGCTGTGTGAAGATGGAGGTGGGCGGCTGGGGTGTGGGTGGCTTCAGGGCCATGCTGGAAGAGCGTGTACAGAACCTAGAGGAGCGCCTGGCAACATTAATTCAAGAGCTAAACCATGATAGCATCCCACTGGGCAGATCCGTGCGGCCCCTCGTGCCAACAGAGCTGGCTGTGCTGGAACAAAGACTGGTCTCCTTGGAGACCTCATGCACCCCTAGTACCACTTCAGCCACCCTGGACAACCTTGTGTCAGAGGTGAAGGCCTGGCAGAGCCGAAGCGAGGCCCTCCTCCACCAGGTAGCCAGCCACACAGCTCTGCTACAGCAGCTCAATGGCACTGTGGCTGAAGTCCAGGGGCAGCTGGCAGAAGGGACCAGCAGCTCACTCCAAGGTGAAATCACTCTACTGAAGGTCAACCTGAACTCAGTGAGCAAGTCACTCACAGGCCTCAGTGACTCGGTCAGCCAGTACTCGGATGCCTTCTTGGCTGCCAACACATCTCTGGATGAGCGGGAACGCAAGGTGGAAGCTGAAGTCCACACCATCCAGAAGCAGGTCAGCAGCCAAGGCTCCAGGCTCCAGGCTGGCCACAGGCAGGTCCTGAACCTGCGGGGGGAGCTGGCTCATCTCAAGGCTGGCATGGCCAATGTGGCCAGGGGACTGAGCCGCTGCCAGGACACAGCCCAAGAACTCCAGCGTGCTGTGCGCCACTTCGACCAGCGGGTGGCGCGAGTGGAGGGCATATGCAGGAGGCTTGGCCTGCTGGCTGCCAGCCTGGACAGTTTGCCCACCAAACCGCTTAGGTTCCGGGAGGGCCTGTGGGGCCACATGGACCAGCTGAATCGCACACTAGCCCAGCACACAGAGGACATTGCCCGCCTCCGAGATGACCTGCTGGACTGCCGGGCCCAGTTGACTGAGCAGGCAAGGCTAAGGCAAGCCAACTAAGCAGGCTGGAGAGAATCCAAGCGCCAGATCACCTCAAAATCATCCCAGGGCCCAGTCTTACCCAGCCTCCCTGGACTGGCCCAGTTGCCACTTCAGAGGCTACAGGACCAATAATCTTAGTCCAGCTTCCTGTGACTGTCCTGGTCATCAGTGCTGCACAAACTAGATAATTCAGGATAGTGATCAAGGCAAGGCTGTCAGGCGTGAAGGCCAGGCTGGACTTCAGAGGACACACATTCCATGGTCTGCAACTTGCTTTTTTAGACATCAGAGTTAGCAACTGTGCAAATTCTCCATGCTCGTTGTCAGACGGGCCTGTCCACAGCTCCCTTTGCATTACAAAGGGTAGTGTCAGCCCTTGGAGATTTCTGTTCCCTTGTCCTTTGGCTTCTACCCATAGCCATCTGGATGAGGATTCTGCAGGACAATGATCCCCACTGCTCTCTCCTCACACCTGGCAGCTTCATGGATGCTGTTTCTGAACCAAGGACCAGAAGCCACTAGAGGTTTCCAACTCCCCACACATCCTTCAGAACTGAATGGAAGCAGAGACCCAACTGAGAGTTTGCTTTATCTTTCTGCTCCTCCCTTAAGGTGAGGGCTCAGGCAGCTGTAGACTCACAGCAAAGAGATCCACACAATCTGTTTGCAGAGCCCAGGTTTTTTCTTTTCCTTCCCCAAAGACATTTTCAGGGCACTTCTTTCTCTTCTTTTCAGTTGGGGAAAAAAATCAACTGTTCCCCAGGTTGTGGTCTTAGTATATAGTGAGGCCTAAAAGCCAGACCCTGAGAAAGCCATAGCTGGAGGAAAAGGGGTTTAGGTCTTGCTTTTAATACCCTTACAAAACCCCAATCCTGCCAAGATGATCACAAAGTGGTAAGAAATTCAGGTATGAAGCCACCAAGGCACAACTGGAAATGCAGGGTTTCTCCGGCCCGCGCAGCTCCCCCTATGCCGAGGCTGTCGGCCTTGGTTCCCCTCAGTAGCGTGGGCCTCCTGAGCCGTTGGCAGGACCCCGCATCCCTGCCTTCTGGTTTCTGAACATTCCGTGCTGTGCCCTCCTCTGGCACTGTGGGCAGAGGGCAGGTTCTGGATTAAAGCTTTCAGCCAGTCTACAGGTGCTTTTCTTCATCAAAGGCAGTGTGAGGGAAGGCTGCTGGGGCTGTCGCCCTGTGCCTCAGGTGAGAGCTCACTCGGCAGCTGCACACTGCACTAACTCTCAGAGGTAGTCAGCAAACCTGCCCTGCCATGGTCAGGTTTGAGTCCTCAAGCAACATGCTGAGGGGACCAAGGGCAGTGGCCAGGCAGCGATGTGGGACCCAAGTCCCCTTTTCCTCATGTCAGAGGGGTCCAGGAGCACCCAGAGTTTGGGGCTGATATCCAGGCACCAGTGAGGGGAAGCAAGGATGACTGGTGGCTCAGAACTGGGGGCAGGGGCACGGAGGAGTTGCTTTTCAGGGTACAACCTAGGGTTCCAGAAGCGTGGGCTCAAGCACTGTTCTTTTCCCATGACTCAGCCTCTGCTGTTGACCCCCTCTTCCCTGTGCATATAGGCCTCAAGTCTCAGCAGGGCCCTCTTATTTGACCTGTCGGATTAAGGTAATGCCCTAGGGTGGCAGGGAAAACAGAGTGACACATCAAAGACAAACCCTGGAAGGGCCTAAGTGACAAACTTTTTTTTTTTTCCAGTGCTGGAGATGGAATTCAGGGCCTCACACTGGCTAAGCTCTCCCCTCAAACCTTTTTATTTTGTATTAAGACAAAGTCTTACTAAGTTGCTCAGACTGGGCTCAGCTGAAGTCCTCCTGTCTCATCCTTCCAAGTAGCTGGAATTATAGACATGTTCCAGCATGCCCAGCAATGGTGTGCTACAGATTAAGACCTCACAGATCTACAACAGCTGCGCTATACCCTTTGTAATGTGGGGGGTCTCTGTGGCTGCAAATAAGTGTGTAGCCCCTCATCTTTGGTGAGTTAGAAGACTGTTGCACTTCCAGACACCTAGTCCCAGGGCTGGCAGCAGGAGAGGCAGCTGGGGCTGGCTCAGGCCAGGGCATCCAGGTCCACAGCAGGTAACGGCTGCTGCCAGTAGCGGAAGTTGCTGTATTCAGGGTGGATCAGCTCTGTGGTGGGGCCACGGGCCACAGGTGGGAAGAGGAGCTCGACCACCTCACCAAGCCGTTCATACCTACAGGCAGAACAGGGTGGCACTGAGAGGCTGAGCCACTGTCACACCTCAGCCTCTCCACAGCAGATGAGAGCTCAGGATCCCACCAAGAAAGGAGGTAAAATTGGGGCCCAGGAGGCAGAGCACAGGGGCCATGTGGCAGGGTCTGGCCTCACGTGGATTTGTGGGTCTTCATGAGCTCCTGGATGAGCTCTCCCCGGGGATTGACTGTGAAGATGCGAGATTCAGGTAGGCCTACCTGTCGATAGGCAAAGACATCCTGTGGAGAGCAAGGAGGACACAGGTGGTAAAAGTGAGGCTGCTGGGGGCTGGGGAGGAGTGGGTGGCCCATGGGAAAGGGGCACACTCACACTGGACCTGTTCCCAAAGGCAGCATAGAAGGGCTCTCCATGGGGCAGAAATAAGTGCTGGATGTCACTCAGGCAGGCGACCTTGAATACCTCTGGCTTCTTCTCGATCACCTCTCTAGAGTAGACATGGCCACAGGCAGGGAGATGGCCAGAGGAGAGGCAGCAACCAGAGGGAGCAGGGTCAGATGAGGGCTCTGGTTCACTCAGGAACACATAGTAGACTGGGCTGGCCAGGCATGATCCCCTCCCCCCAAGGACCGTGGGCACGGGTATGGGGTGGTTACCTGTGGAGGGCGGAGAAGAGGCTGCTGGGAGATAGCAGGATGGGGCCCTTGGGGAGACCACAGCCACCCTCGCTCACCCACTGCAGGTATGCCTTGGTGAGGTCAGCCATGCCAATGGCCCGCGCTGAGCAGTATAGGAACTTGTACCCATTTCTGCAAGAGGCGATGGGGTGGCTCATTGTTATCAGAAATTTGCCACTCCTACTCCACCTGCTGGCTTTGGCTGGGCCAGCCCAACCCTATGGCTCTGGCCTTCAAATCCAGAGGGCTCTGCAACAAGGAGACTTAAGGAAAATGGCCTGGAAGAAATGGCCTCAATGGCTGTCCCTGCTAGAAGCTCAAGCGCATTCCTGAAGTGGTCAGCTTCTGCTCCCCCAGCTGGGGCCAGCAGGTAGATAGCTCACAAGAGAACCGAGGACCAGGGAGCAGGTCTCAGTGCCTCATGGACCTGCGAGGCTGATCCTCCTGTGGCCCCTGTTGGCCCCTGTTGGTCAGGGTGGAGGACGACATCCTGTTACCCCCTCCTACATAGGGGCCCTGCCTCAGTCCCAATGCAGCACTCACAGGTGGATTTTGTGGTAGAGACTAGTGATGCCTTGATGTGTCCAGTCTTTCCCCAGCTGGGGTAGAATATGACCCAGAGCATCTGACCTGCAGTCAGAAAGGAAAGGTCACTGGGGCTGTCCCACATGGCCCTCATACTCCATGGGTAGGGCCCAGCCTCCAACCCCAGGACAGCCTGCTGGGAAGGGAGGGCCTCCAACATGGTCGGTCCCCTTCCTCGCCACACAACCAACAGAAAGAGGCCAGTCCCCAGGCCCGCCCTGCCCTCCTCGTGCTCAGCAGGGTCTCACTTGGTGATGGTGCCATCGATGTCAGAGATGATCACCTTGTCGTCCCAGTTCCACAGGTAGATGGTGGCCTTGCAGCGGCAGGTACCCTGGTACTGGGTGGTCACACTGAAGACCACATCATTGGCACCTTCATGCAGGTTCAGGCACCGCTGGGGCCAGGCAAGGGGGTGAGGGGATTGTGATCTGCCCTAGCTGGCACTGTTTAGCCCTTTCCACCCAGAATGCGGCCTTTGACCCTCACAAGCCTCTCAGTCTCCTCTTCCTCCCAGTACAGAGGCCATTCCTAAAGGGTCTGAAGATAGACACACAAGCACAGGGTATCTTTGCTGATCTGTGCTCTGAACAATACTGGCATAAGAGCTCTGACCCCCCCACCCCCATCTCTTACACACATACTTTAATGCCCTAGGATGTGATTCTCAAGGGCTGACCAAATAGCTCAGCAGATTAAAGCGCCTATAAGCAGGCACAAGAGCCAGGGTTCATTACCCGGGTCTGCCATGCTGGCCTTGCCCCTGTGCCTGCCCCTGGGGTATGCTGAGACTGCGATTGAGACTGTGCGTGGTGGCAAGCGCCTGTAATCCCAGCTCTTGGGAGGCTGTAAACAGGTGGATCACTGAGTCCGATCTAGTAGTGAGACTCTGAACACCCTGTAGACCCTTCCCTAAAATATATATATAAAAAAAAAGAGGATGTGATTCTCAGACAAGCCACATCTGTGACTCCCTGCTCAGATTTCCACGGTGATCCTAATGCTTGGGCTGTTCACCCCACTGTAGATGGGGGGCCTGTAGGAGGTTCTAGGTTGCTTGACGCAACATTCCCTTAGAGAGAGGCCTCATCCTCTAATGAGGGAAGCAGCTCTACCAAACCCAAGATACTTCTAAGCCCTGGCTGGTCCTGAAGTGTGGGTGAGCCCCAGACGATCAGATGAACAGTTGCTGCTGTGTACCAGAGTACTCAGACCTCCCTGGACACTTCCCTGACCTTGGTGCCACGCTCAAGAGGAAAATTTATTCTTACTACAGGAGCCACTAGTTACAAGCTTAGGGAACTCCTAGCATGGAGGATGGGGGTTACCCAAGTCAGAAAGGTTATTATTAGCATTTGATTCTTTTAAGTTCCAAAGGTAGACCCAGATCTAGTTTGTTCACGGCAGGTAGATGTCTCAGTCAAAGCAAGCAATAAACATGGTTTGATGTGGAAGAAGTGTTGGTATTCAAGCAGATGCTGTTAGGGAGCATGCTCAGAGGATGGATTCTGGCCTTTGGCGACCTGTGCTTCAGTGTGGCCCTCAGAGACTGGTACGCAACTAGCTCACCCCTGCCAGCAGCTTCAACTCACCCCACAAATGTGCACTTACGATCTGATCCGAAGAGAGGCGGAGGGATTTCTTGTAGATAGGGGTGTAGGCTGGAGTTGGAGGTGACAGGCAGGGGGCCTCCAGGATCACAGGGCTATCTGGGGCATCACCATCACTGCTGCTCGGCACTCCGGCCTTCTCTCTGCAGGCAGCACCCACACTCAGGCACCCCAGCAGAAGGCCCAGCATTTCAAGCAGATGTTCACTCTCCACTCAGCCTATGAGCAGCCCAGGGCTTGTCCGCGTCCTGCCAAAGACTACCCTCCAAGTGTCACCGTGGGGGCGGGCAGACGCTGGTGCTGCCTGGTAGTGTCCAGATGCAGGGCCTGCCCTGGAGCTGTTTACCTAAAACACCCATCATGCCTCCTGGGCTTATTCCTAGTCCCCCTTCTTTGGTCTCAGCCAGTCCATCCTTGGTCATCCTCCACCCAGCTTCCCAGGGCGGGGTCACTCCAGAGGAAAAAAGGAAGCCAAGGCATCCGACCCCTATGTCCACACTAGAGAGACAGGCCTCACCTCTCCTTCACAGTGGCAGCCCCATGTCCATCCCAGGAGTCTGAGTACCTGTCCCAGCTCAGCCACGTCCTGGCTGAGGGGCATTTACTGTCTCTAGATATCAGTTTTCCCATCTGTGCAGTATGGACATGTATCCATCAAAAGAGGGACAAAGAACCATAGCCAGAGAAGGGGCGCTGCTCCGTGTCCCCTGTTCCTATAGTGCTCCTCCTCCCCAGGCTTCAGCCCATAGCCCTGCCAAGAGCTCCAACTCACCCCTGCCACTCCCTGGTTGTGGGTTTCTCCCTCTGGACACCACGCTGTGAAGGAACATCCGTTGGTGAATTCTGATTCCTGTCCTGTGCTCAGCAACCCCCCACCGGTGTGTCCATGACCACCTACCTCCTCTGCTGGGAAATCCCTTCGTCGCCAGGAAAACCACCACCGCCCGCTCTTCCGGGGCATCTTCTCTTTCTCAAGCTTGTCCACAGTGCTCTGTGGACAGATGAAGGCTGTGGCAGTTTTTTTCTGCACTCCACAAGCCTACCTTACATTCCCCACGGGTACCCAATGAATCCAAGGTCAGAGCCAACCCTAAAGCAATACACCATCAGCATCCACAGGCTGATGAATCATGTTCAGCTCCCTTTAGGGATCGCAAGCGATGACCCATGAAGTTTTGCACAGGAGACTAGGACCAAGCCTGTTTCTCAGCCCTGACCTAACTCCAGCGCAGTCTGTGCCTGGCTTCCAAATGTGAGTCAGTTCCCACACAGAGCAGTGCTATAGGAGTTTCTTAAAAACTGGTATTCCATGCATGATGCTGCCAAGTGGAAACAGAGAGTCTATAGCTACAACACTCCTCAAACTCCCAGACAGACCTAACAGGCTCCTGAAGTCAGTAGTCCTCTCCCATGAACAGCCTCCTTCTCCGCATGTTCCCATTACTATCTGATTGGGGCAGTAGGACCTTGTGAAAAATGCTATCAGACCTATGCTAGATGACCCCAGAAGGAGCCCAGGCCAGGGCCCACCTGGAAAGAGACACCAGCATATCTACAGATGCAGAATAGAAAACCCTAGTTCGGGAAGGCATGGGCTTAGGTACATCAGCCAGGTTGGGTGCGGTTCCTGGAGGCCTCACACTGGGGGTCTGTGTAAGACAGGGAAAGCCAAGCAAAGGAGTGGCTGGCTGCCTTCTCAGAAGGTAGAGCAGTATCACAGAAAGGAGGTACTGCGTGTCAACATCTTATTGGTAATGCTCTCTGGCCAAGCCTAACCTATCCAAGAACAATGATTCATGCCAGGGTGAGGTCCTAGAGAGTTCCCCGAAGGGGACAGGCACAGGCTGGCAATGCCCAGCAAGGCACCAACCTCTGAGTGAGGGCTGGTGGCCCAGGAGGGCTGGGTAGGGCTTGCAGAAGTGAATGACGAGGCTGGGTCCTTTCCCTGCCCCAAACTGCTCAGGGCACACCCACCCTCCAGTGTGCCCAGGGGGCACAGGTTCAGCTACGCACCCCCCATTACAGGCCCTTGCAGCGCCGCAGCCCTCAGCTGAATTTTATACTGAGCTGGGTGATTTCTTTAACTCCAGCGTCCTAGAGAGGACAGTTTCTTTTATATTTGTAACTGTCTCAGGGCTGGGCCTAACACATAGTAAATATTCAACAAATGTGTGCTGATTAAACAAGTCAGCACCCCTCAGCCCTGCCTGGAGAGGCAAGCCTAGGGCAGTCTTAGGGGGAGGAGGAGACCCCTCTGCCGAGCCTCATCTTTCAGACCCCAAGTTTTCCTGCTGGAAGCATGTCCTAGTTTAGGCATCTCTGGTTTGTCCTGAGCTCCTCTGAAATAAAGTCCAAGTCCAGTAGGATCCTCCTATGGCCAGGGAACCCTGAGAAGGTGGAGCTTTGTACATGAGACATAAGCAGGCTTGGGGACTTCTGTGTCGGAGACCCCAGGCCTAACTCTCCACTTGCTTGCTAAAGGCCACTCAATTCCAAGCTATGGCCCCAGTGATGGTCTACACATTACCTCAGGTAAGTCCTTCTGGAAAGCTTGCAGGCAGAGGATCATGGGGGCAGCCACAGCCCAGTTATAGTGTCTGGAGAGACAGGATGGATGTTGAGGTTGCTATGGGTGACCAAGCCCAACCTATCCAAGAACAATGACTCATGCCAGGGTAGGGCCCTAGACAGCTTTCAGAAGGGACAGGCACAGGCTGGCAATGCCCAGTGAGGCACTGACCTCTGAATGAGGGCCACCAGCAGCCCCAGACTGCTACTTACTTCTCATTGATTTTCACCACTAGGTTTGGGTCATCCAGGAGACCAGGGTTTTTGGTGAGATCCTGGTAGGAGACGATGTGCTGGTTGAATTTCTCTGGGCACATAGGCAGAGAATGAAGTGTGAGGCTGGCACACATCAAGTGACCTGCTTTCTCCATGTAACTACAGCTTGCCACACTCTACTGTACATCTCCTGCCAGTTGGTTCTTTGACCTGGCAGGGATCCTATCTGTGGTGTCTATATCTGTTCCCACCCCAAGAATCACAGGTAAGTCACAACTTTGGGGCAAACATTTGCTTCACAGACACTTGGGAATGGCCAGCCTGTGTTGGCCAAGAGAGGCCTCCAGGGCAGAGGATGGCAGGGAAGCTGCCCTAGCCACGTCTCCTCAGAAGGTCCTCCCTGCTATCACTATCCTTTGGGTGCCACATTAATCCTTGGGAGGGCTCCATTCCTGGTCAAACATACCCTGGGAGATGTTCCGGCTGTCAGCCAGTCCACCGCAGAGGGACAGTGTTATGACAGTCACTGAGTCAGGGGTGGATTCTGGTACTTGCTCAGGGTTGGAGCTCTCCAGGAGCTTCTGGCTACAGGGTTCACTCCACCTCCTGGCTCCAAGCCCACAGTTGCTGGGGGCAAAGATGTTGACGATGCTATAAATACAAAGAAGAGGTGGGGTCCCACTCCTCCCAGTCCCTTGAGAATCCCTAGAACCCAGCACCTCTGAGGGAAGTAAAGAGCTGCATCCTCAGAGTCCAGGGAAGGCAAGTCATCCAGGTAGATGTCACTGGGGCCCAAGTGCTGGCTTTTCTTCAGAGAGCCTAAGGACAGAGGAAGGGCATACACTAGTGGTTACAAATAGTATGTGTCCCCTGCCTTATGACTTCCCCCAAGCCAGCGTTGTCCGATAGCACTTTCTGCAATGATAGAAATGTTCCATATCTGCACTTTCCAAATGGTAGCCAATAGCCACACATGACTATCAAAAATCCTTCAAATGGGGCTGGTGTGAGAAAGAGAAATAAAATATATACATTTTAAACTGGGGATTGAACCCAGGGACCTTTGCACTGAGCTATATCCACAGCCCTGCTCCCCCCCCCCTTTTTTTTTTTTAGTCTGGCTAAGTTTCCTGGACTGGGTTCAAACTTGTGATCTTTCTGTCTTCTCTCAGAATTTTGGGACCATTGGTGTGTAGCACTGTGCCTGGCTTGTTTAATTATAATTTTATTTATTTATTTTTTGTACTGGGGATTGAATTCAGGACTTTGCCCTTGCTAGGCAAGCGCTTATTCTACTGAGCTATCTCCCTGGCCCGCACTTAATTTTTAAAAGCTACATAAAAGCCAGTGGCTACTGATTCAGGTGGTACAGGTCAAGTACCCTCCACCACTCTTAATAAATCCCAGCCTGTGAGCTGGGAATGATCCATCTCTTCTTATTCCCCAGACGACTTTTTATTTTGTACCAGGGATTGAACTCAGGACCTTGTACTTGCTAGTCAGGCACTTCAGTCACCAAGCTATCTCCCCAGCCCTCCCCAGACTTCTTAGAACAACCTTCTTCCCCTCATTACTCAGGACTTACCAGCCTCCCTCCCTTAGTTCCTAGACAGGAAACCTCGTTCCTATCAGGCAGCTTCACTCCTGCTGCTTTCTCTGCCCAGAATTCTCCCGTTCCTTGCTTGGCTGGATCTTTATCATCCATGACTTGACCTCAATGTCACTTGCTCAGAAAAGCCTTCCCTGATCACTTGACATAATCCCCATCCCAAACAATTGCTCTGTCCCCACCTGGCCCATGTCATGCTCTTGTTACATGCACATCATTTGTCTCCCCCGGCGGACCATGAACACCAAGAGAGCTGGTGCCAAGCATAGTTCCTGGTGCACAGCAGGTATGTAGAATGTACTCGAAGTCCCAGAGCCTACCCAGAGGATAATATGGACCAGGAAGTGGTACGAAGGGTCATTGAGCACTCACCTTTTCCCCTGGAGACTTCTGGTTTCCCAGTGGGAACAGGGGCCTCTAAAGTGACCCAGTTCCATGATTTAGAAAGATTTTCATCTTTGGAACTCTGAGTCTTTGCTTCTTCACCCTCTGGGGAGGGAGGAGGAGAATCCACTAGAGTTTTTCTCCAGTGAGACTCCATATCAGGCCAAGGCAGATTGGCATTATCCCCTGTGTGTGGGATTTCAACTCCCAAAGGGTCCAGGCCAGGTGCAGGGGAGGAAGAAGTGCTGGGTCCTCTCTGGAGAGGAGTGGTTGCTCCAGTAGCACTTACAGGGACTACGGAGGACTCAGGCTGCTCAGCTTTGGCCACCTTCAAACAAATATGGGAAGATATGGGCCAATGCAGGCCTCCCTTCCATGCTCTACAAAGCCTCAAAGCACGTGGCCCCAGTGCCAGGCATGCCAATCCTGACCCTCAGGAGCCAGAGAATCCCTGAAGGCAGAGCCTGGGGGTTACAGAGAGGAACCTACCTTAGGCAGCTTCCCCCATGCCCACTGCATGTGGGACTCAGCTCTCAAGGGACCGGATTCTCGCAGCTCCAACTCTGAGTCGCTCTTAGGGAATATTAGCTCACCTGACAAGAGGCTGCAGGAAAAAGACTCAGAGACCTCTCTGCCCCAGTCAGCCCACCCTCAGCCACCCATCCCTAGAGGAAAGTATCTGCAAAATACTTGTGTCTGTTTTGGACCCACAATACACAAAGACATGTAAAGATATAAACACTATATAAATAATGAATTCCTACAAATCAAAAATTAGACAATCTAGTTTATAAGATGTGACTGCTTAATGAGTACAGGGTGTCCTTTGGGGATGATGAAAAGTTCTAGAACTCCACAGTAGTGGTGGCCACACAATATCCTGAATGTGCTTAATGACACCGAATCGAATGCTTTGGGTTGATTAAAATGCTAACTTTTATGTTATGTGTATGTTATGTTAAATTTGTAAAAGCTGAACATTGAAGAGAAACACAAATCAGCAATAAACACATTAAAGGGCTTCTATGTCATTAGTAACCAGGAAGAGGCACTCTGACACTGGGATCTAGAGACCCAGCCCACAGCCCACCTGGGCGCTTACCTGTCCTGGGGGAAGCACTCGCCATCGGAGTAGGGGTAGAAGTCTTTGGGTTGTAGTGAGGGCTCCCCTTCCAGCTGAGCACTGCTAAAGGACCACGTGAAAGCTATCAGCAGGGCAGGACACACCAGGCAGGGGACAGGAGCCTGGACATCAGGGGCTTGGGGAGATGAAGTGACTAAAGCCCAGAGTCGTACAGCATCCACACTTGCACCTCCAAATCGGAGACCCCATAACCACAGCCTTCACCAGGTTCCTCCTCACCCTGGGGACACTGGTTTCAGCTTTCTCTGCGGGGACAATTCACTCCCAGCTCCAGCCTCCAGCTCCTCGGAACTAGACTCAGTTGCTACTGCATCTTCCTTCCGCCTGGATTTCTTCCTTCGACACTTCTTTCTCCGCCCGGTGACAACGAGGCCTTCGGGCTCACTGGCTGTGCCAAGCTGAGAATCTGAGGGGAAGCCAGATAGGGCCCCCCAAGGGATGGGTGAGGTGCACAGGCGGGGAGGCACATCTTCCTGTGGAGCAGACAGCGGCAGAGCTGAGGTGGGGTGCCAGCACCGGCCACCCACCTGAGCTCTACCAGAGGCCCAGGCCCTACAATAAACTCATTTAGGGTCAGGAAAGCAGGTATGGACATGTCAGAGGCAGCAGCAGCAGCACCACCTGGTAGCCACAGCTGACCACAATGCTCCCTAGAAGAGCACAGCAGCCCCAACCCACCACCCAGCCTGCGTGCCACCTCTCATCCTGTCTGCCCAAGTCTTTTATAAGTAGATACCAACTTTTTAAAAACTCCACCTGATGTCACGTCTTCCAAGAAAGCTTGCCCTGACTCCCTAACCCCAATTCTGATTTCTTTCTTTGCAGTAACCAAATAGGTCCATGACTTTATGGGTCTGTCTCCCGCTATAGCCAGAAACTTCAAGGGCAGGGCTAAGCCCTTGTCTGAGCCTGCTACATAACCTCTGGCACACAGTAGGGGGCTTAACTGTAGTTTATAAGTTCAACAATGTAAGCTCCTCCATTGGCTCCAGGTGCAGGCCCTGCTTCCCTTTCACAAAATCTCCTCTTCATCCCCCACCCATGCGCATCTGTGTCCCAGTGCACAGACCCGGCACCAGGCCCAGAGCCAGCCAGACCTTATGCCTCCCAGCCCCTGCCATTCTTTATTGCCCTTCTCCTCTCCAAGCTGCCTGGGATGAAGGTAACCTCTGGGGCATCCGTCGGGAGCTAGTTCAGATGCCTTCTCAGACCTGGAAATAGCGCTAGCCAGGGATGGCTCCTTCTCTGGGCCCAAAGCCAGCCCCAGCTAACACCCTTGCATCAGACCTCTCCCATGGGGTGCTCCCAAGGGTGGGAACAGTGACCAACCCAAGGGGCCACCTGTGAGGGGGCAGGCTCAGGCTTGGATGGCAGCACTCACCTCATCACTCTCCAGCTCCTGGACAAAGAAGGCCTCCCCACTGTCCCCCAGCTTCATGTGCAAGTCCACCGGCTCCCCATTGATCTCAATGTCCACCTGCCATGGGAAAGGGAGATGCATGGTCCATCCCACAGGCCCCAGGGTCCATGCTCTAGTCTGCTGCAGACGTAGCTCCTGGCTGCCCCAAGCTCTGCCCTGGCTGAAACCTTCTAGTCCAGACCGTAGCATGCCTTGTGGCTCGTCCTTCGGCTTCCATGTTCCTCTTTCCCATCCCTCATGAGCACAGTGACACGAGCTGTCCTGTTCCAGCCCCTAGGATGTTGACTACATGCACAGTGGTGAGACTCGCTGCTTACTGGGCACTCTGTATGGTGTTTTGTACCAATTCTCTCTTTAATCTTCACAGTGACTCTTGCAGTCACTTCTTTTATTATCTCCATTTTATAGATAAGGAAGCCGACGCTGGGGGTGGGGGGCTTAGTCATTTATAAAGCAGCAGCCTCCCAGCACATGAGTCTAAGAACCCAGAAAACCTGAGTCCAAACCCAAACTCCTAACCTCGGCAGTATACCACTGCCCACAGGCTACCCTTTCCTATAAGCACTCTGAATAGCTCATGGTCACCGCAACATAAAGGAGATCTGGGCCCACCGTACCACTGTTCACACAAGGGACTTTGGTGCTAATGGAAATCTCTATCAAGTTCACCTGAGCCTGATAAAGACAGAGTGGATTTACTAAGGGACAGCAATGAACCTTGGAGTGTCCCCATATAATTGGCGCTGAGCCAGTATTATCAGTTCCTGTTTACTCTTCCAATCCATCCCACCACCACCTCCACAGCCATCTGCACAGCCGAGGCAACGGTGCTCAGAGACTGGTGGTGATTGAAGGGTGAGGGCTTAATGATCTGTAGCCAGGGCTCATGGCTACAGCATTCAGCCTGCCCCACCAGGCCTCTTTCATGGAAAAATGGGAATCCTCCCGGGGCCCAACCCCCAAAACCTTTATGAAAATACAGAGCAAGAGAAACCTGCTCAGAGGTCAGATGACCACATAAGAGAGGCCTGGGTCCTTTCCTAGGGCCAAAGTACATGTCCTGTTTTAAAAAGCAAATCTTGCAGAAGGGCCAGATGCAGTGGTAGTACATGAAGCAATCCCATTACTCTATGAGGGTCTAAGACAGAAAGTCATAAATTCAAGCCCAGCCTGGGCAACTTAGTGAGATTCTTTCTCTAAAAAAAAAAAAAGCTGGGGATATAGCTCAATGAAAAGGCCCTGGGTTCAACCACAAGTACTAGTAAAAACAAAATGCCCCCACCATCTCCCAGTGGCCATCTGGCCAGCCAGAGTACTCACCACCTTCTCCCGAGAACGCAGGACACCCAGTTTGCCAAACCGGACGTGGAAAGGCGAGCACCGGAAGGAGCCATCCACTTGCCTTACCACCAGCACATCGATGCCTCCACTCAGTGTGGCAGGGTTCAGGCCCTGGTACAGCTCCTTCACTGTCCCAAACACTGTCTCAGCCAACTGCCCCACGTAGTTCATGGCTGGCTGCAGCAGAAAGAGGTAGCACCGTAGACAAGACTCCCTCTGGAGAGGGACCACCCTTCTGCAGCCTGGTCACCCAGATGTCCAGGTTTATGCTGTCCTGCCTGACAGCAGAAAGCCTCTACACAGACAGCTGTGCGATGGGAGATACTCCCAGAGACAAGGGCCTATTCCTGGCTCACTCACCAGCCTCCTGTGGGACCCGTGGACAGCAGGTTCCCTTCCACAACTGCTGCTCTCTGCATCTGTAAAAACAAAGGAACAGGGTATGACAATACCTGGGTGCCTATGCTTCTAAATGCTATGACTCATGGTAATGATCATGGAGCTTAGTAGGCATGGCTCATTTAATCCACACAACAACTCCGTGAGGCTGGCTGAGTGGGTGTTATTACTCCTGTTTACAGGTGAGCCAGCTGAGGCTCCGAGCGGTGGAATGACTTGCCTAAGCTCTCACATCTAGTAAGGACAGGACCTGGGATTTGAGCCCAAGTCTCTGTGGTTTACACCCAGAGACTGTGGATTGAAGCACTGGGGTGACTCAGCTGTAGAGACAGCACAAGGGAGGGTGGCAACTTCATGATAAATCAGCCCCAGGGCCCTGCTAGGCAGTGAGTGGCAACCTAAAGGGAAGTGAGGTGAGGGCTCTGCTTGTCCATTTGAGAAATGGGTTCTGCTGTTTTGTTGCCTCCTGGGTCTAGGGGTTGGAAGGAGCTTGCTGAGTCATTGTGGCTAATCTGTGGGGGATCAGGAATAGGAGCACCCCAGGGAGCTCCAGCTGTGCTCAACACTCCTTCTGGGGTCAGATGCCAAGAGAGGACATCTCCTACAGCTGGGGGAACAAGGCTCCAAACTCCAAATTCCCTCTTAGTTTTCCTGGTGGGATCTATGTCCATGGCAGTTCAGGTCCACAGCCTGACGCAGCATCTTCAGGCCATAGTTCTGAGCCCCCAGCTTGAGACCAGGACTCAGCCAGGCCAGCCCCTGGGCCCACTGAGAGCTTAGACTGAAACTGCTTCTTTCCCCAGCCAGACCGGTCTCTCCAGCTCTCCCACATGAAGGAGGGCTGGGTGAAGCAGAAGCAGGAGGCTGTGGCAGCAGTGGAGAAAAGCCAGGCTGTAATGAGAGCTGCCTCCAAGCTGGCACAGTGCCCACTCTGTCAGCCTCCATCCATCATTCCTGCCTTGGTGTCCAGGCCAGTCACCTGCTGCATGCACCTTTGGGTGCCAGGACCCAGACTGTCCCATCTCCACAGAACCTGTGCCCCTCTCAGGACCTGTATCACAAGAACCACTGGAGGACACCACCTGCCATGTAAGACCACTCACTCCTCAAAGAAGTTAAATGACCTATCCAAGGTTAAGTGATTTATCCAAGCTCTAGTAAGCTAATAGGGTCCAGATGTATGTGTGTGTGTGTGTGTGTGTGTGTGTGTGTATGAGTGTGTGTATGAGTGTATGTGTGTGTGCTGAGGACTCATGTCCAGGTCTGTTGTCTCCATACCATGGGCTCCTCTACTCCGTGCCCCCAAACACTACCACAGTTGTTGGCAGAGTGGGCAGCCCAGCCCACAGCCTCCTCTGTGATGCCCTGCCCTGAAATGTGGTCTATGGTCCAGTGGCATCAACTTTCTCTAACAGGCTCTTAGGAGCCTGTTAGAGACACAGAAACTTGGGCCTAACACAGTCTCCCGGAGTCCACATCTGCCCTGTAACAAGATCCTCAGATGCTGCTGTAGTCTTTAGTGCTTGAGTAGAACTATCTTAGTGGGCCAGCAAGATAGCTCAGCTGACTAAGTGCCTGCTAAGGCAAGCACAGGGACTGGGGTTCAATCCCTGGCATCATATGCCCCTACCCCCAGGTGTGCTGAGCCTGCCACCAAGACTGGGTGTGGTGGCGCACTCCTGTAATCCCAGCACAGGGGAGTCTAAAAATAGGACGATCACTACAAGTCTGAGCTGCGTAGTGAGACCCTGTACCAAACACTGTCTTAGCGTTCACAGTCCAAAGCCTACTCTCAGAAGAGACTGAATGGCAGGGCTCCCAGGGAGGGCACTGCTAAGGCAATGCTCCTACCCCTCCCGTCCTGGGATGGCAAACCAAGCACTGCATTACTTCAGTCTGTGTCAGAACTCCACAAGCAATTTAAATTGCTGGAGTGACAGTGGAGTAAAGGGAAACCCTTCAAAGTTTATGGTCACCTAGACAGAAAAGAGATCTGGGCCCACATATGGTAACACCCTAAGACACAATCTTCAACATCACTCAAATTCAGAAACTCCCTGTCTGGACACCACAGCAGAGGAAAGGCAGAGCAAGTAGGGCCCATGTCTGAGCTGTCTGCCCTGCTGAGGGATTACAAAGCTACAGTAGAGAAGATGATGGCAGGCTCAGCTTGCTCTAGTAACTTCTCAACTTCAGCATTACTGCCACATGGTGCTAGAAAGTTCTTTGTTGAGGGCTGCTGTACGGGGTGCATCTCTGGGCTCTTCCCAGTAGATACCAGCAGCACCTCCTCTCCCCAACTCCAGATTGTGACAGCTGAATTGCCTCTGAATTGTTAAACAATTGCCTTTAACAGGCATTGTTAAACATCACCTGGGGGTCCAAATTGCCCCTGGCTAAGAATCAGTGATCTAGTAAAAGATGAATGGCAGATGGTGTGCTTTGGGGTTTTACAAGGGAAACACTACAACACAGGACACATTTTATAATATTTTATAAAGGATCACATATAGCAATTAACCACTGAGAAGAATGTATGCAGTGTATTATTTGTTGAAACTGTACTTTTGATTTGATTTGAAACTGTCTCATTGCTATATGTTTATCAATAAAACTTTGAAAAGAAA